AAATGTTTAAGCCTCATATCACGTTAGGCAGTAAAACCTCACTGTTCTCTGCCATATTCAGATCCTTTGTAAACATTGTGTTCTGCTCTTTTCTCTTCCGCCGTCTCTAATCATTTCTGTTTAGCGTTTGATCCGAGATCCAGATACACAGCGTGTAGTGCTGCAGGCTAACATCCCGGTCCTGATTAGACATGAATATTTATAATGTGACATCATCTGGGAATTATAGTAATTATGAGCTTCTGATTGGTTTAAAAAAAAAAAACCTTCATGTCTTAGTAAAAGAATTTTAAAATTTCAGACAGTGTGTGACGTCTCATTATAGAAAGGTGAAGCTGAGGATTTAATTCTATCTCTCACACATTTCTCATCCTAATCATCCACCATCACTGACGGCTTTCTGCTTTTACTGCTAGCTATCTCTGCGTCTCTGTGTCCATGTCAGGAAGACTTATTTCTGTCTTTAATCACTGTCATTCAGACATAATGGGAATGTGCCGAAAATGTCAAAACAACCCCGTATTTTCAGGCATGATGTGATTGCATCATAAATGTATAAACAAAAACCTGACATGATGTGAGTGTGGTTTAAATGTGTAAAAAATGCCTTTTCTTCTCACTCTGCTGTGACAGAACAGATCGGACCTGCGATCTACCAGGGGGTTACAGTGACATGGTGATTCAAGTCAAGTGTGTTTTTATTGTCATTCCTCTATATAGCTTTTATACACTGGTGCAACACAGAACAGTACACAAGACTACATGAAGCGCAGTGTGAGACGAGTGCAGCTCCGGAGCCTTCACGGGAAAACTCTGCTCACTTTGTGCCATGCAGGTATTCGGGTTTAAAGACGACCCGTCCTGGGTTAAGAGTGTGAACACACTGGGTTCTGGAACTGCTTTAAAACTGGATGTATAAATAGTGATGATGATGATGATGGGGTGTGTGTGTGTGTGTGTGTGTGTGTGTGTGTTTTATTAAGCGCTCTGCCAGAGTATGCAGGATAATGTCAATAACTCAAACCACCTGAGAAAACACAGTCATAGCGTGCGCACACACACACACACACACACACACACACACACACACACACACACGCACACACACACACACACACACACACACACACTCCAGAGTGATATTGTAGAGTCTGTCTACAGTATTAGATTGCACCCGTACCATGTGAGGACATCTGGGCAAAAGTTTCCTGACATTAAAGTTAACGTAACAGTAACACAGAAATTAATGTCCGTGTCTAGAAGATGAAGTTGATTATTTTCCTATAACAGCATGTCCCGAAGTGGTTTAATCCTCCTATACCACAGCAATTTGCCCATGATTACAATTTTTAAATATTTATTCAAGAACGACACGTCATACTTATTGTCCGTTTGTAGTTATATTTAACGTTGGTGAAACAAGTTAGTTCCTGTTGTCGCTTACGCTATAGCAGCTATAAACCCTCTCTTTATTCTCTCTCTTGAAGTTAATAATATAAAAAAAAACGCAGCTTGTGACGCAGGTTACGGCGAAACCGCAAAGAAGCGTAAAATCCTCTGTCCTGAAGATGTTAGAAAACTTAAAGTTTTACCTCTGTTACAAAACTCTGACACTGGAGACTCCTTCCAAGAAACTTCACCAGATCAACGATTACACTTGTTTTTAATTTGTTTATTATCAGTGGAGCGTCCTCTGTACACGTCCCTGTGAATGAGCTGTTGCTATAGAAACGATAACGTATTAGAACAACTGCATTAATATAAACCTGCGCTACTGTCAGGGCTCCTGCTATTGCTTTACGTTTAAACAATCAGTGATGTTAATACAGGGAGTTAAAATATTTTTATTGATCACACAACATTAATAAAGCTGTGCGCTTCATATAGATTCAGATATTCGGCCGTATAAGTTTACGTAAAGAGAGCATTAATTTTGGTCCCTTATAAATCATGAAAAAAAATTTTTCATCTTTTCATAATACAAATAGTAGTGAGATTAAAACTTACTGACATTTTTTCACTTTACCACATACAGTACACACAACTCGAAGTATTCAAAAACATTCTCTCTGAAATGTTTTGCTGTGTGTGTGTGTGTGTGTGTGTGTGTGTGTGTGTGTGTGTGTGTGTGTGTGTGTGTGTGTGTATTTATAGTGAGGCAGTCTTTAGTGTACATACAGTTCTCTGTAAAAGTTTTAAGTCCATGTTAAGATATATATCAAATAAAGAGACTAGAGTTTGTAAACATTGATAAATAACCAAAGTCTTTGCCTTTAAAGCTGCATCAGTTCTCTCAGGTTCTCTATTGTACTGTTTTAAAATGAATTCAGAAGGTTTTCCTGCACCTTGGAGAACTTGCCACAATTCTTCTGAACACTTTTTAATGAAATACAGAGTTTTACTTTATTTAAAAGCATGCAAACATTTCTGTGTAAAATTGAATCATTTTTGGAAAAATGAATGTTTTGAAATTTAAAATTTGAGAATTTGAGCTTTAAAGACACTGAATTTAAGTGGTACGATGGAACAAGAGGCTCCGAACCGTATGTGTACATTATACGTGACCACTTTAGTATTTTGTACAGTTTTTAAACTGCAAAATGCTGGAAAAAGTAGCTCGTCCCACATTTAAAAAATATTCCAGATTGATTTTAATGTCAGAGGCTGAACATTATGATGTCTGTCAAATATGTAATTGGCGTTAGCTATTTTTCAACCAGCACCAGGTGAGTTTTAATGTACTTTAATGTAAATTCTTTTCTTGTGAACAATGTAGATGTGTCACTGGAGTTACATCTTTCAATAAAATAATTTTTACTGAAAAAAATATTTTTTTTCTTCGAATAATTTATTGATGCTGAAGTGATTAATGATGTGTGCTTTGAGATGCTGTTGGAAAATAACGTCTTTTATGGTGTTAATGTCACTGGTGTAACGTTCTGTGCTTGTGACAGCAGTGACAACTAATAACTTCAGTGACTTAAAGTAATGGCACCACATTAAACAGCAAGAGTATTCACAACAATACTATAATAATAATGCAATCACAATTTTCAAGTAAAATATGAAAATAATTCAAAATGTCTGCTGGTCAGAAATTCACCATATTTTCATAATGAATAGAAATCTGAAAAATGTTTCAAAATCTTTTAAAAATGAATAAAAATAAAAACAAACAACTAATACTATAATTACTTTCCTTTTAAGCAAGTGACCCCATCTTTTAAGAGAAGCAATTATGTCTTTCTTGAAGAAAGAAAGAAAGAAAGAAAGAAAGAATACCATAGCAATAGGATACATGACAATAGAAGAAATAAACACACAAAAATTCCCTATTATGAAGGAAGGGAATTATTACTACGAAAAGAAAAGACAGATATGAACTTGAAACTTGGTCCATATTCTCACAAAGTGTATATCCTTTTCTCTTTCCATTAGAAATATTATTAGAAAAACGTGTTTTTTTTTTAACTTTCCTGCCACAAAATAATAGGTTTTACAAACATCTGTAGCGAGACAGGACAAATCCTGCTGTGTTTTTCACCTGGAGACGGAGACGAGACACACTTTTATATGGATGTAATGTTGCATGTATGCATTTACAGAAAATAATGTGTGTTACAATTGTGGCGTTTCACTCTGATGGAAAATAAAAAAGGGAGGTTGAAAGAAAACCACAATCATATACACACACAGACATGTGCAAGCGAAGTGTGTGTACAAGTACTCTCCTAATTTGTGTGTGTGTGTGTGTGTGTGTGTTTCTTCATCTCTCTCAAACACACACATGCTCTTCATTATTCACCATCTGGTTCCACCAAAATGATAGAAGGTTGCTGAAGCTCACACACCTAAAACCTCAAGGGGAAACATGCAATGCTAACACACACACACACACACACACACACACACACACACACACACACACACACACTAAATGCACATTCACAAAGATGTCCCCAGTACACACATACTTAAGCTTTTAGTTACAAGGTATATGCTAAATTTCCTTCATTTATAACACCTGAAATATCATACTCATTAACTAGATAGATACATCGATAGATAGATAGGCCACTTTATTAATCCTAGAGGGAAATTCACAGTTAACACATTACCATGTTAATATTAATGTTATCAACTATTAACATATTAATATATAAACACACACACAACTGACCTTGTAAAATGATCAAGTGCAGCAAACACATTGCTCTCTGAAAGTCGGTGTGAGTGTGGGTGAGAACCTGAGTGATTCTCCAGTGTTCACTCTCTTGGTAATAAGATAAATCTCACTGAATTAAAGCATTAATTAAAACATTACATCATATTTCCACAACAAAACTCCGCTAGTGATAAAAGAACTACAATAATTATTCAAAGTCGTTTTATTTTTCACATGCACAGTATGCCAGACACAGTTGTACTTTGAAATGCTTGTGGTGAGGCTCTGTAAACTCGCTAAGGCACAGATACAACAGAAAAGAACACACAAATCTTCTTCAAGGGGAGAGACTAGACAAAAATTTTAATAAATACAAAAGGAACAAATAGAATACAATATGGGAATGCAGTATTTACGTAAAGAGCAGCAGAGAATAACTGAGTACGTACAGTCAAAAAAAAGTGTGGCAAAGAATAAAGTTACACAGTGGTAAATGTCCTATAAAAGTAATGCGAGTTATGTGCTTAAAGTGACACAGTTATTTAGTAATCCGATGGCCTACAAATAAAACTGTTCCTCAGCCTGTTCATCTGTGAATGTAAGGTTCGGAAGCGCCTACCCTACGGTAGGTTGACAACCAGGTTGTGAGCTTGATGAGTGCAATCAACCATAATCTTGTTAGACTCTAAGTTCTTGAGTTTGCTGCCTTCACTCAGCTTACACTCTTTTCAGGACCTTGCAATTAGTAGCAGTGCAGCAGCCAAACTGGACAGCAATGCAGCCACTCAGGATGCTCTCAGAATGCAGTGGTAGAAGATTGTGAAGATGTTACAGTGGAGTGATAGCTCAGTGGTTAGGACGTTTGGCTACTGATCGGAAGGTCATGAGTTCTGATCCCCAGCACCACCAAGCTGCCACTGGTGGGCCCTTGAGCAAGGCCCTTAACCCTCAGCTGCTCAGTTGTACAAATAAGATAAATGTAAGTCGCTCTGGATAAGGGCGTCTGCCAAATGCTATAAATGTAAATGTTACAGGGCAGACCAGGTTTCTTAAGCCTCCTTAGGAAGTAATGTCTCTGGCGGACAGACCTTGCAATCCAGTCAGAGTGCAAAATCCAAGTAAGGTCATTGGTGATGTGCACAGCGAGGAACTTGAAATTTTTTACTCTGTCTACAACAGCACCATCAATATATAAAGGAGCATGCTCTACCTCCTGCATCTTCTTAAAATCCATGATCATCTCCTTAGTTTTGCTGACATTGAGACGGAAGTTGTTGTCACAGAACCACTGTGACAGCACTCTGATCTCATCCCTGTAGGCTGTCTTGTCCCTTTTGGTGATGAGGCTTAGGATGTTAGTGTCATCAGCAAATTTCAGGATGGCGTTTGAGCTGTGCTTGGCGACACAGTCGTGCATGAGAAGAGAGTACAGAAGGATGAGTACGCATCCTTGTGGTCTGAGTCAGCATGGAGTACATGGAGTTGCCAGTCTTCACTTCCTGGGGTCTGCCAGTCAGAAAGTCCAGTATCCAATTGCACAGCTGGGTGTCCAGGCCTAAAGCATTAAGCTTGGTGCTGACCTTAGTGGGGACGAGTGTATTGAATGCTGAACTGTAATCAGTGAACAGCATTCTGACATAGGTGTTCTTTTTGTGCAAGTGCATGAGAGCAGTGTGCATGGTTAAAGCAACTGCATCGTCCATAGATCTGTTTGACCGGTATGCAAATTGTAGAGGATCGAGTGTGGCAGGAAGTAACGAACAAATGTGAGTTGTCATTAATTGCTTGAAGCACTTCATCATGATTGAGGTCAGTGTGACAGGCCGATAGTCATTGACTATTGTCTTTTTGGGTACTGGAACAATGGTGGACCTCTTAAATCACTCACAGCCTCAGGGAGAAGTTAAAGATGTCTGTAAAAACCTCTGCCAACTGAATAGCACATTCTTTGATAACACGGCCATGGAATCCACCAGGTCCTGGTGCTTTGTGAGGGTTGACCGTTTTGAAGTCCTAGATCATATGTGATGTGGGCAGAGTAAGTGTGTGGCTGTCTTGTTCAGGACTAAGCTTAGCAGCATGTTTGAATCTGCACATCCCATCTCACCATTCCTCCTCCCCTTGTAGGTGGAAACTTATTGCAGGCCATTCCACATGCTCTTGAGTTTGGAACCCTTGTAGTTTTACCCCTCCCTATCTAAGTAGTCCCTCTTGGCACGTTCTATGGACTTTTGCAGGTCATATCTTGCCACCCTTTAGGCCAGCGGGTCACCTGAATTAAATGCAAATGTGTGATCTTAGTTTGGCATCAGCATTAACCCAGAGTTTTTGTTTGGGAAATCACCTGATGACGCCCCAGTAGGTATGCTCCAGGCTGGTCCAATCACTGTGGGACTCTGCAATTACCCACATGTTGAGCATAGCCTTGAGTTCATCATGAACCACATATTTCTTCTGTTCACTGAGCCGATTGGAGCAGCTGCCACTTTATGAGTAATTTAGAGCATGTCATGGGTAGTACAATGAGTACTTTATCTCCTGGTGCAAATTCCCATAGCTGAGGACCCCAGTAGTACATTCAGGACTGTCATTCTTGGGCCTGACACAAATTCTCCTGTGTAAGGTGACTTAAGGTGTGGAGTTTTGCTCCCAGGTCCAGAACATACTGAATTAAATTTTTGCTGCTTTGCCACTTATCCCAATTCCATGCGCCATAGTGAATCATCTTACAAATCATATTTGCAACGTGCCACACACCACAAACATTGCCATGAGCACTCGGCCAATAGAAACGGGCCATGAGACAGTGCAGTGTTATATCCTGCCCCAAATACCCAGCCATGGGAATATAATGAGTCGCATGGAACAATCATTCCCTTCGGTTGTTTGGTACCAACAATTGGATCATCTCTTCCTTAGCCTGAGTGTCCTGCATCACGTGATATAACCCATTTGGTTGATTATTAAAAATAGGTGGGATAGCGCAACATTGGGCTGAATTTGCTGACCAACTATTAGAAGAAGAAGCCTTTATTTGTCACATATGCATTACAGCACAGTGAAATTCTTTTCTTCACATATCCGAGCTTGTTAGGAAGCTGGTGTCAGAGTGCATGATAAGGCACTCCTGGAGCAGAAAGGGTTAAGGGCCGGGCTCAAGAACCCAACAGTGGAAGCTTAGCAGTGCTTGGGCTTGACCCAGAGCCTTAACTGATGAACCACCACTGCCCACTAAGGGCAACTTCCATGACCAGGAATCAAACCCGGGCAGCAGCAGTGAGAGCACTGAATCCAAGAGAGAGTAGCCACTAGACCATCAGGGGAACACATTACAACTTACTCTCGCTTGGTCAAAGGCATACCTCAGGGTCCCATTGCCTGAATGCTCCAAGGGTAAATCCCAGAAGGGAATGCCTGTAAAGGGGCAGAACCCTCCCCAACCTCCATGTCCCCCAGATGTGGAGCTGACATCGACGGCCATGGCATGGCCTCCCCAGCCAACCCTGTACACATTCCACACCATGCCTCATTACTACAGGATCCATCCACAAACTTTTCTCATACTAATGCTTGAAACCCTGGCCAAATTGTCCCAAGAATTAGTGGAAGTGTGGGGCGAAGACTAACTGCCACCTCTATTTAATTTAGTTACTGGCACCAGCAGATACTCATGAATATTCCAGTGTACACACCTCACCTTTACCAATTGTGCATTACCTAATGCCCCACACTGAATCAGGTTTTGATGGATGGTGGTCTGGTTACACCCCAAGTCCATTAAGGCCTGATATGTACTCTGTTGTATACTCAATGACAAGCAGTACATTCCTGCTTGATTGGGACAGGTCTGTGGCAAGTCAGGGATCTGGACCAGCCAAATGATCCTCTGCCTGAATCAGCCTTCCAGAGGGCTTCATCCAGCAATGCCAGTCGGTAGCAATGGACACAATCCACTGTTCCTGCTGGGATCCATGCGATGCACCAGCACCACCTGATTGAGAATTCCCTCTGCATGCCGCTCCTCAGCCAGTATACTTGAGCTGCTGTGCAAAGATGAAAAGACGGCCAAACTCTGCGAACTTCAGGAAGTGGAAGCGTCATCGATGTTCCTCCGGGGTCTGGCTGTCACATTGCAGCACCGCTTTCTTCATGCTCTGCTACACACACAGCAGCAGCTGCTTTGTGGGGACCTGGGCTTCCCCCGATAGCAAGAGTAGGAGACGTAGGGCTCATTCTTCCTATGGCCATCCACACGCAACTGCTGCATGCTCAAACAGCTCCACAAAGGCCTCCAGATAGTCTGTGGAGTACATGTTCATGAGCTCTGGAGCTGCAACTGGAGGCACGGCTGATTGCAGCAGCATTTGGATCACCCACCAGTTCTCTGTCTGCTCCTGAGTGAATCACCTCGAATTGCCTCAAATCAATGCTGTTGTTCATGGTGCAGGTTGAAGACAGCCTGATGTTGCATCTGGTGGAGGCTAATGAGAGACTTAACAAATTCAGTAAGCAGAGAAGTTTCCATGACAGCATCTGGTACCTCTTCCTGGGTTTTGGCACCTCTGTAGAACCTTGGGCATGTGTGGGTGGGAAGGAGGCCTCAGGAGACAGGCAGCTTTTGACGCAGCTTTGTTATCTTGTTTATTTTTCACCATGCTTTTCAGCACCCTTTCAAAAACTCAACACAAACAAACCAATAGAAAAGGGTCCGTCATTAGCTTGGGGCTTTTGCCCAAGTTCAAAGTTCAAGTTCATGATCCGTGTGTGTGTGTTGCACACTCTATGCCACTCTCTCTCTCCGATTATGCCAGTCACTGAAAGCACAAAAAACACACATAAGTAGACTGGTGTTAATAAGGCACAGGTGAGAATTACCTGCCAGTTCAACCTCCCTCCTCTCTGTGTGCAGCAGATGCTTGACCACAGCCTGCTGCCGCATCCTCTTATACCACAGATGTACTTCCCAAGGATTACAATTTTTATTTATTAAATAACAGCACATCATACCTTTGATCCATGTATAGTTACATTTAATGTTGGTGAAACAATTTAGTTCCGGTTCTCACAGCAGCTATAAACAGCTGTTTCCTCACCAGCCTCTCTTTCTTTCTTTCTCTCTCTTGAAGTTAATAAGAAAAAAAAAGAGAAACCAAGAAACCGCAAAATGTAAACTCCTCTGTCCTGAAGATGTTGGAAAACCTAAAGTTACAGCTTTACCTCTGTTCCAAAGTGCTGACACTGGAGACTCCTTCCATAAATGTTACATAAACGTCTCCTAACAGAAAATGTCGTTATATCAACGATTACACACATTTTTTAAAAATCTGTTTATAGAAACAATTACGTGACTAAAAACGAGTGCAATAATATAAACCTGTGATTTGCAGCTGCACTACTATCAGGGCTGCTTTTATAGAAAATTAATCAACACCAGTCACAATCCAGTGGCGTAGTGTATGTATATTAAATAAGTATTACATACAGTACATGATGAACTCACACAGTTCTGATGCATTAACACTGTTAGCTTATAACCAGAATGTAAGAGTCATAGTCACAATGGTTACATACTCGTTTTCTAACCACTTCCTGTCACAGAATCAGGGCGTTCAACTGATACTGCAACAAAATAAACAGACAAGTTATTTAAACAAAAAGTCACTAGCTTTTAAAGACAGGATAAAAATTTTCTCAAGTCCTGTGACGGGATCTGATTTGTGGTCATGAGGCTGAAATTAGTGTTACTGGTGTGCTGTGCTAACTAATATCTAGGTGGAAATGGCATGGAGGTGTGTGTGTGTGTGTGTGTGTGTGTGTGTGTGTGTGTAAGGGGCAAAGGTGTAGTGTGGAATTTGTATTAAATTCAGGCACCAAATTGCTTCCAGTCCTCTCTAAATATCACTTCTCACACACACACACACACACACACACACACACACACACACACACACACACACACACACACTCTCTCTCTCTCTCTCTCTCTCTCTCTCTCTCTCTCACTCACACTCTCACACAC